CTCTGAWCCTGCAGCTGGATATGTGGTGCCCCATCCTCACTGGGCACAGCCATGTGCAGTGTGGCTGTGCCATGGGGACGATCCAGCCTGGCTGGGCGGGAAGCATGAGCAGCGTGTGAGCTGTGTTCCATCAATGGCTTCTCCTGATGCYGTCCTGAGGGCATCGATAGCTGCTGCCCACGGGGGAGCTGATGACGCTGGAGCGGGTCCGGAGGGAGTGTCTGCAYAGATATCCACCATCTGTGGCCTCTGCCTGCTGCAGTGCTCTGCCCAGGATCAGACCGTGTCCTGGCAGCCTTGTAAAGGTGCCGTGCTGCCTCTGCCCACCAACAATGGCAAGGTCAAAGGACAGAGTGCTGTTTTCCTTCTCTTCCCTGTAGTCTCCAGCTCCTGAAGCAAAGAGGCTGTAGTGGAACAGACCTGGARGGTGGTTGTTCAGGTTTTGCCTGATTCAGTCCTTTGGCTCTTCCTGCTGGAGTTCTTGCTTAAGTGCGTGGCTCTGACACCATCATAGGTCTGTCCCACCGTGTCTTCCTGTCCCTATGTCCCTTAACCATTAGGGACAGAAGCAGCTGACTGTGGTGTTACAGTCATGACAGAGGGATCTTGCCCCAGGATCTATGCTCTGTCTCCTGGGGGATCTTTGAGTGTGGTGTAGTTCCTGCTGCACRCCTGGATTTGGGAAGAAGAGGTGAGAGCCTTGAGAGGGGCCTGAAGGGACCTGGGCATAGGGCTAGAATGGGGCAAAGATGAATACGACTGCTCTTTGCAACAATGAGCTACTGAATTGTTAAATTGTCGATCTGAGGTTTTCTTTGAAAGGGGTGATGCTACAAATTAATTAGCTCCCTTTTGGTTGTTAGCACTTTAAAGCCCAGCTGTCAGGGGAGGGCTGGTTTATAGGCATTACATCAGGGCTGCCGGCTGGCTCGCTCGCCTACCTGGGAATTTCTAAGTGTGCGTTGTAACCGGGGGAAATTTGGCTCGGATGCAGCATCTGGCGCTCCGTGAAGCTGCTGCGATGTGCTGTCCTGAGCACGGGGATTTGACTGGTGCATGAGCGGTGCTGCTGGGCTAAACGGGGAGCCGGTGGCACAGCCTCTTGAGCTGCAAGGGAGGCGGTGGCTCGGCCTGTCGGTGTACAGCTCCCGGGGAGCCGGTGGCACAGCCTCCCGGTGTGTGGTTCCCAGGGAGCTGATGACTTGGCCTCTCTGTGTGTTCCCGGTGAGCCGGTGGCTCTGCCTCTCGGTCCGGCTCTCAGCGTTAGCCACCCGCCGGGTGACTTGCTCAGGTGAGCTGCAGGTGTGCAGGGGATGGTCCGAGTAGTTCCTGCTTCTTAATTAATGTGTGAGAGAAGAGGCCTTTCGGAAGCAAAAGGGGCTTTTCTGGTGCATGGAAGTTTGAACAGGCTAGAGATGTCCTGGGAGAGCTGTTGGTGCGGGCAAGGGTTGGATGTGCAGAGCGGGGTAGGGGTGCAGCTCCTCCGTGCTCCCGTCCCAGCGCGGGAGGYGRYGGGGAGCYGAGCCCCTGCCTCCCCACCCCCGGAGKTTTCTGCCCACCAGCACAGAAGCACGGCGATTCCCGGGCACACGGGGCTGCCGTCCTACGGAGCTGCCAGCCCGGTGCACGGGGGCCCGGGAGCGATGCGGGGGCACAGCCACAGGTACGGTGCCACCAGCCCTAAGGCCTCTCCCAGCGGGGCGAGGTGGCCGGTTCCGACACCAGGCGGCTCGAGAAGGGCGGTGGGTGCCCGGTGCCCCCCGTTCTGAKCCGCTCTCGGTGGTCCCGGGCGGGGGTCGCTGCCCCGCGTGGCAGCCCCGCGCTCCAAGATGGCTGCGGACCGTGACACGCCTGGTCACGTGGGACGCGCGCGCGCCGCGCCGCTTCCCCC